CGTGTTCTTTAGATCCTCAGATGGCTCTAGCACTTTCGTGACCACGGGCCGAGAGTCTTTGCTAGATTTTGGCATTTAGCAACTGGCATACGGTTTAATGTGAAGTCAACAACAACAACATACGGAAAATGGCCCTATACCCTCAGCGTACGCATGGGCGTGTGTACAGTGCGCGACCAGGCAGGCATGTAGTGATACGGCGAGTTTCTATCAAAGGGCGTGACCACCGTGTACTGCACTAAAGCCCGAGGTTGTGGGTCGAGGGTGTGACTCCTCTAGCATCGGGCAATTGTTTTATACCCGAGGCACAATATATTCAACGTCCGCAGGGAAGCTACATATAATAGCCGCAGAGCATAAGTTAAATACCTACTTACAAATTTAAAGGCAATGCGTACTCGTCTGCGGTGGAGTCTATGAAGATGAAATGGAGAGCGACGGTGGCATTGGGACTTTTCCATGTGCCAATGGTAGAACTCTGCGCAATAGTCGTCGAAAAGAGCTTCGAAGTGCTCGTTGTCGGCGATTGGCGCGTGGAGTGTCTCTTAGCGGTCGTAGTCTTCGGCGGTGGTGTCGAAGTTCTCGGCGTCGATGATCATGGAGTCATAGGATTGAGGGGTTCCCATACTCCTTGCGTCATCCTGGAGGCAATAATGGGGATGGAGAGGAAGTTGAGAAACCGGACGGGTAGAGTTGTGAATTTTCGTCGTGTATTAGGTGTATGGCGGGTGGATCAGCATGGTTTGGATCGGGCAGTTGGTTGTGGTTGAATACGGTATTGATTTGAACGTCGTATCGCAAAGTCGCAGCAACATTTCTGGTTGACCTAAATACGCTCTTGGGTGAGACATGATGGTAAGGTATTGGTCGTATGATGCATACATACGGGGTTGTTCTCCGAGGATGTTGAGGTTTTCGGTATTCATTCCTGTCGAAATAACAGTTTGAAACGTCGGGTTGTTTCGGTTGTCGCTCATGTATTGGACGATTTCGGAGCGTACTTGGGCGTGTTTGTAGGGGTCGTTATAGATACGTCGTGCGATACCGCGGAAGCCACAGGCGCGATCACCTATTCCGCTGACAGTGGACCATGTGGTTTGTGGTGGAGGGAGGGGTGGGAGGATGAGAAATTGTGGGCGGAATGTTTGGTGGAGGCGGAGGCGGTAATGATGTTTGGAAAACTGCAGCTTCAATGAAGGGGACATATACGCAGTTTGCAACATGGGGGATGTTGTTCATGAGATGATCGGGAGGTAGGAGGATCATGACGGAATGTCTATTTTTGGCGCGGCTAAGAGCAACGTAGAGTTGACCGTGAGCGAAGCAGTCGGAGCGCAAATCGACACCAATGCGAGATATGGTCTCACCCTGGCTTTTAATAATTGTGAGGGAATAAGCAATTCGCAGCGGGAACTGGCAACGGTTGAATGTGATGCCGTTACGACCAACTTGGGCGTGGAACGAAATTTGCGGAATCGAAACGATGGAGTTATCGTGCAGCAATTCAACATAAACGACTCGAGAGTTTGGTGATATCCGCGCAGAACAACTTTCTGACCGTTGACGAGACCTTCGGAGAAGTTCAAATTTCTAATAAACATGGCGAGGGCATCGGGTTTCAAATCTAGTTTATGGAGAGGGACCTTTGGCACGTTAAGGCCGTTGACGTTTTCGGGGGAGGAAAATGCAGTGGAGGACGGATTAGTGTCGCCTGTGATGAGTGTGTCTGAACTGCAAAATGATGCTTCATTACCACGTCGTGTAGAAGAGATTTCGTTGTTGCATGAGTCAAAGAAGCGTTTATTGTAGCGATGATAGCACGATTGGTGAGGGGTTTGGAGTCTTCGTGTATGTCAGGGTATACGAAACGGATCAAATCGTCGAAGTGTGCCGTGTGCTTTAACGAAAAGTGGTCTGTGGTTGATGTGTCGTGTTTGCAAGAGGGGTAAGTTGTGAGTCATCTGGAAAAGTCTTCAAAGGCTGTTTGTTTTGACCGATGGATCTGACGAAAGAAGAGTATGCAGGATCTTCTTTGTCTCTCTGAGAAATGGTGAGACGGATACGTTGATTTTTGGCCAGATATCGCTTGATATGAACGAAGCTTCAACTGTGTCAGCGGCTGTGCCGAACGGCACCACAGGCCCGCATTGACGTCAGTCACCTGAGAAATAAATGGTAATACCACCATATAACGCTTGCGAATTTCTGCGCAAAGTTCTTTCAAGAGCCTCGACACAAAAACGGTGGGTCATGGGGATTTCGTCAAAGATGATGAGGTCGCATTCTCGAATGAGGTCGGCTCGTTGTGATTCGTTTTTGATGTCACAATAAGCTCCTGGCACAACGCGTTAAGTGGTAGCTTGAATAAGCTGTGGGACGTCCAACCACCGGGAAGTTGGAGGGCGGCGATTCCGGTGGAGGCTACAATCAGAACAGTGTAACCCTCTCCGCGCAAATGTGCTACAATAACTCGTTCTGTATGACTTTTACCGTTTCCTGCTGGAGCGTCAATCATAAAGGGCTGTGGCTGTTTGTTTTTAACGGCTATGGCGACAGCGGCATAAATAGCGCGTTGCTCAGAAGTTAAGCCAGGCTCGATTATCAGCATATTGGGATTGCTCTGAGGGATCGAAGGAAGAGCGCATACGTTCGTCGGTGTGTGGATTCTGGAAGACTGAGTTGTACGTTTGTTTCACCGTGTTGTAGTTTTAAGTTGATAATTCGTAAAGCTTGTTGGGTAGTATCGGTGATGCCCATAGGACGGGTGACATCTTCAATGAGGTCTTCGTAGTCATGCCACATTTTGGGTGCCGGGCCGCCGTTCAATAGTAGAGTAGCGAAAAGGCCGCGAAGCTGAGACGGCATCTCGAAATTGATGGCTTCTTCCATACCAATAAATAATTCTTCTTGTCCACTGACTAATCCTTGAGCTCGGGCGGCGTCGTGAAATGTAGGGTATTCGGTGGGCATGTCCCACGGAGGAGTTTCAGTTCTTATTTCGGTGAATGACCTACCGGTTTTTTGGGGTAAGATTAGTCGGAGATAAAAGAGGTCACCAACAGCAGGCGACTGAAATTTAATACGACAGACATGCGATGATCTTCTTGCAGAGACGACGTCATCGTAGGAATCTAACCACTTGCCATGTGGTGGGAAAGAAGGGATAGGATCGACCTTTTTGTTTTTGATGATTGTGTAAGATTCAAAGCAGTCAAACAAGGTTAAGGCATCGAACATTTCCAGAGTCGGACGTTGCAAGTATCGCATAAGGTCGGACACAGAATCGTCAGCACGTTCTCGCCTTTCTTGGTCGGTAGCATCGGATGGATTCATGACGTTGTGTTCGTTTTCTAGATGGGCGCGGACGACCGTGACTGCAGGCGAGCGCAACATCATGTCATATCCTAACACGCGCCAAGTAGCTTCGGCGGCGGAAACGTATCTAGTTTTTCTGTTTTGTTCCATTCGCTTTTGATACCTGCGGCTCTTGCTCTGGCCATGTCACCGCCTTTAACAACGTATTTCAACAGGTACTTGACTCCCGAGGTAGCCGTCACAATGTCGAAACAAATGTGACACCAATATCGCAACAATAGGTACGGGTTGTACGGGACGATCCACTCGTTGCCAATTTCAACACCAATCCATTCACCATCTACTCTTTGGCGGATGGTGGGTCTGTCGCCGTTATCGATACGTTTGTACTCTGCACGACCTGTTTTGTCATTGACAATCGCTGTACAGTAGTTCGAAATGGCTGTGGGAAGTGCTTATTGCGGTACCGCTTTTTGGTGGTCTTGTTCGTGTCCATGCATGTAGCGGAAACATTGTGTGTACCACACAGTCGATGGATCAAAACATTTAGTACCGCTTCGCGAAGTCGTTCGTTCGCAATATCTGTGGAGGGTAATTGCGCCCATACCCACGACTCCATGTTTGTAAATGCGTCATCGTTGTTAAAGCGACACATAACAACGTGTTGGTGAAATTGAGAGCGAAGCATGAAATTGAGAGCGAGAGCCAAAAAAAATAAAATTCGGGTCCAGACGCCTCTTGCAATTTCTTGGGAAGTAGGGGGCGGGGTCTCCAAGAAGCGGCGCATATTGAAGGTCTCATCAGCAGCGTCACGAGCATATGCGTGTCATCGTCATCGGATGCTGCAGCTAGGAGCTAGACAAGTTGCTAAATTTCCCCAGATTGGCTATTCCTGCCTCAAACTGTTGCAGGCCGGTTTGGCCTCTGGCGGTGGGCTCTGCTGTAGTTTCTGCTCGCCGCTGTAACTCCACATCGAGAGACTCCCACAGGATGACCAGGGTATCTGCTTGTAGCTACGGGCTGGCCCTTCAATTCAAGCTACACAGCAGCTCCACCCTTCAGCAGTAGTCCAGCTACAGCGCATCGCGCAATCTCGCTCTCAATCAGATGCTTCGCTCTCAATTTCACCAATGTGCTGTTACATGAGGTGACAGTGAGGGAAGCCTCTCTGCTGGAATTCAATAGTGTAGAAAATAAATCCACTTCTGAGAAAACTTTACCGGATTTGAGCTCAGCGATTATCTGTCCATTTTTGGACTTGAAAACATGACAGTAAAGGTCAGGGCGATCAGAAGCTGTTTGATTGGGCAACAAATTTGTCAACTATTTCTAGCCATAACGGGTTGCATGTGATGGTAATAAACACTTGGAGACGACCCCTACGATTGACAATGCTAAGGGCGTCTTCTGTATCCGATTTCCGCTTTAAAGGTGATCCATGGAAGCTGGCCGGGAGGAGCTTACCGGGTTGATTGTCTGCTGTAGACTCGGTGATAGGAAGTCGGGTTGCAAGTCTCAGTGTATGCGGAAGTTTATCAGACTCAAAATATGACAATTTGTTTTCCTCAAAACGTGAGTACATATCGCGACACCATTCCTGAGCAATTCTACTAATTCCCTGAGCGAGGGGTTCGGATAGTAGACGTTGACGACAGTAGAAAAAGAAGAGCACGTGCTCTGTGCCTGCACGGTTCATGGATTTGGACTTTCTCGGTGGGCTTTCGGTGTAGTGACCGCTGCTCCAACCGCTTTCACCATGATTAAGTAAGCACGGGAACTGGAGGGGTTCGTATGAAGGAGAATAAAGGTCTAGAAAACGTGGCTTGTCATCGGGGCTATTCTTTGGGTATGATATTACTGGTTGGGTACAGGAACAATCACTCTTCGAGGGATACGAAATCGCGGCGATCTCAGGCGCACTTGGGGTCCCAAGGACGTGGCCGTCGTTGACTCTGCTTACTTCTGCAATCTCTAGGACAGCAGGTTCGGGACATACGGTAGAATTTCGCAAAACTTCGTTAACAGCACTTCTATACTGGGTGGCCCATGGTATGCTTTGGTGAAAGTAGGATCGTAGCGAAGCGGCGGTGTTGGTGTTGACCTGAAGTTGTCGGGATTGGTGATTCAACTCGGAATAATACATATAGAAGCGTCACGTGTTCGTGACGGTCATGTTTGTGTTGTGTTGCAAGTCAAAAATGCGATGGTAGGCGCGACCATGCATGGTTAATATACTTGGTCCGTACGGCTGAGTCCAGGTCTGTTTTCGTAAACCATTGGGACTGAGAGCAGTAAAAGAAAAGAGGGAGTTATTTTTCCTTTGGTTTCGCTGGAACTCGGTTGTGTTGTAGATATCCCAAATATGTGGAGGAACTTCTCTTAATTTTTGTATTACGTTTTTTCCATTGTTGCAGCAGCTGAAGCGTTTAGTTCTTTCCTCTTTCCACAGTTGAGAGCCGCAATGAGGGCAGACATAAGTACGGTCGTGATCGAGGTCTTTGTACGCGAACGTGGTGGCTACTGTCTTGTCGATTGGAGACTTGAAAACTCGAATGCCTTTAAACACAGGGTCCTGGTGGAAGGGTGATGGGTGTCGAGGAGAACGCATACGCGTGAAGTGGTTATGTACAGCGGAAGATTCGGAATTGTTGTGGTTGCGCGCATGTCTTCTTTGGGCAAGAATTCGTGCGCGAGCTGCGCGACGTGCCGTGGCTTGTTCGTTGGAATTTGACGTGGTATTCGAATTAAGATGATTTACCATGCGCAGGACACGCAATTGTTGAGAGCGGCGAGATCGGTTTTGGCAGCAGACGTCATGGTGTGGGACAGAGGCAGCACATGATACCGATAGAGTAATTGCAGGCGTGACATTGCGAAGGTAATCGCTTCGAGTAGGTGTGTTGGCCATATCAGTGGCAAGTACGAGGACATAATGCTCCAAAATGAGGGTGGCTGGCAAGACCGTAAAATCACACCAAAGACCTTAGCGCTTGCCATTCAGAAGTCGGCGAGGTCTGCGGTGATCTCAGCTGAGGGGGCCTTGGCCTCGTCCTCGGCGGAGGTTCCCGTCTGCTGGCGGAATTTGCGGTCGGCTATGATGTCCCCCACCTGTTACTACAGGAAAAAAGAAAAAAACAAAGAAAAGGCAAAGGAATGAAAGGAAAAGCCAGGAAGGAGGAAGTTTGTGAAAAATCTGTACGATACGAGACACAATATGTGACTACAGGCTTGGACCATCGCAACGATGAAACGGAAACTGATGCTGCAGCAACGTGTGTAATCACATATCTATAAAATCATCAACAAGTGCAAACGATGGAACGGACGAAACGAAAACCATACTGCAGCACGCGTAAATTCAATGACAGATATTTAAAACGAGCAATATGTGCAAAAGTTCGACGCACAAACGTTGCGTGCCAGCGTTTGGCGCAATGGGCGTGTAGGCCCTTCGGGTTGTCCTCCTTGAGGGCCCAAGACCTGATGACCAAGTTGTCCTTGATATTTTTTGTGCAGCCGTCTCGTACGTTCTTGGCTGGTTTTTCTTTGTCGTTGTACGCCGCGCAGACGGTCTGCGAGGCACGAGCCACGACAATTACATGATTGGGGAGTGAACGAAAATACCAGCTGTAGGAGCGGAGGTGACTCGAGACAGCAGTTATTCAACAGCAAACAGGCAACATGCACAGCAGTAGGAGCGGAGGTGTCGCGCGACAGCAGTAAGTCAACAAAAACACAGCAGTCTGAAGCATACCCCGACAACGGCTGCAGCAGCGATGGTGACCCATAACAGGACTTGTTTTTTCGAGATGGGGCCGACGCTGCGCTGCGAGACCCACTCGTCGACGAACAGGTCGATGTTGTCGTAAACTGCACGACAGCAGCAAACAGCAGAGAAAGGGGATACATCTTTAATCGGTATCCATATGAATGAAAACGATTTGTCTTGAGGAGTCGAGCGGTGGACGCTATACGCCATAGGCAAGGCACGCACCAACACAACTGCTGTGAGGAGATGGACGCTACACGCCATTGGCGGCACGCACGAATACAAGCGAGGCAGGGTACGCCCGAATACAACTGCTGTGGGGTATCTACCACAGGAATAAAAACAATTAATGTTGAGGAGTGGAGGATTGACACTAAATGCTTTACACGGGGTACGCACGAATACATCCGCTGTGAGGAGTCGAGCGATGTACGCTATACGCCAGAGGTGAGGTACGCACGAACACAACTGCTGTGGGATACTAAAGGAAACTCCCGGGAGAATCAATGAACGCACGGACACGACTGCAATACCAAGGGAACTCACGGTCTTTTTGGGTAGTCGAGTTAACCTTCCCGTTTTTCTTCCCGATGGAGAGGAAGTTGNTCCTGCTAAGGGTGTTCGGCATCTTGTGCTTACTTCCTTGCATACGGATGACAGCTGCGTATGACTTGATTTATTTTCTGGTGCTTCCACTTCCTGAGACAGTTGTAATCACTGTGTAACTGCCTCGAGGTTGCTTGGCCATGTCAACACAACGTGGTGCGATCATCCCCCTTGCGCGGAGTGAGGGTTCTCCACCCCGCACAACATGATCTACTCGACCACCATTGTGGTTACCGCCAAAAAAAAAACAGAGGTAAAAAAAAAACGGTAACCTGGTTGCCGAGTTCACGAAGTGAATTGGCTTGTTTTGCAACGTCGTTGCCAAGCGACGAAAACCCAATCCCGATGGCAAACACCGGGGGGCACAGCAGGGAGGGGTCTGATTCCTTTCCGCCCGCCCTCGCGAGCTTGTTGGCCGTAAATTTGCAGGAGTCGGGGTCGTTCTTGTCGTTGTTGGGGCAGGCCGCGTAACGACGTCCCCTATTTGTGCGCCACAAGAGTATTGTTCAACTCTTGACAGGATGGGTCTGGGCAAAGCCTCCCGTGAATGGGCTCCCCGACGAGCTGAAAGCCGTCGGGCGGCTCGCCGCTGCTGCCGCTGCTGCCACCGGCAGATCCATCACCGCCGCTGCTGCGAGAGTCTCGTGCTTTCTCGGTCGTGGGTGAGGTGCTAAGCAGCCGGTTGGAAGCCATGCCCGCGAGTTCTCGTGGTTGAAAAGAGGGGTGGTGATGTGCTCGTGGTTGAAAGCATTCATGTTTATTCCCGATTTGCCGCGAAAAAAAAAAAGTAGAGTTCGATCGATAAAAAAAGAATGGTCTCGTCGCTACCTTTCAGGTGTATAGCCTGCACTGTCAATAAACCGAGGTGCGATTGGTGGAGGCATGGTAGATCTCGGAGACGCAACTTTCCGCCCTCGGAAGCACTCGGGGACGGGCTGGCCGACAGCAATCCAAACGCGGGCAAGGCCCTCGCGAGCCGGGGCTGCCGCCAGAAGCGATTCCCGCGGCGAACGGAGGTGCATGGGCGGAGAAATCGCAAAAAAAGAGCTCTAGGCGCACGAGAGCATCAGAATTGCATTTCCTGCGATCTCGTGAGCCCTCAACCCGTCTATAGGTCTATAAGCCATAGAGCAATCTGCACTAACTATGCATCTTCGTGCTCGCATATTGTAGGTTAAGCAACATTACGAGGTGCGAGACAAAGATCTTGCTTGTGGCGGGTTCCACAAGTTGTACGTGCAGACAAAATTTGCTTGGGTGGGCGCCTCCTTCGTGCATCTTGATCCCTGCAAACATTACTACTGCAAGTAGAAATCCGATCAAGACACTTCGAACAAGTCGACAAGCTCGCGTTCCTGTATACCAACGGTGGCAAGAAGACAATTTGCGAACGCGCGAGTTGATACAACGCGTTGATCGGGGTGGGTGATAAATTAGTAATTTATATCCAGACTGCCGGACGAAAAACATAAAAAACCTTGTCTGCTGTTTGGTCGTTCCGTGCCATTTTTTGTTGTGCAAACCACCTGAGACCCCCATCCCATCATCCATGTGCTCAAAACAGGTGTAATCCACGCGCCAGCCTGAATCATTTCGGCACGCGCCGACAAAGGAGAGCCTCGCGAGCGCGAGGCGGCGGGTGCTTCTTCCGGCAAAGGGCGGGAATCGGCAGCCGGCGACGAATTCGTCGATGGGACTGGGCTGTTCGCTCGAAAGACTTGCCGAGGGGGGTCTCGTCTTCGCGCGATGCCGCTTCCGACCAAGAAGACGACGTCTTGTCGTTCGAGGAGTTCGAAAAGGCGTTACTGTCCGCGACTCCAAGTCGGGGTGGATTGAACAGAGGCGCCGACGGTGCAGGTGATTCCCCTGGTGCGCCGACGGGGATAAACTGGCGATTGCTCGTCGAGGACATCTTGGTGCAGCCACTTTTCTTCGGGATTTTTGCTGTGCTCGCTAAACCAGCAATACGTGAGTCAAGGGGTGCTTCAGATCGAAGTAAATGGGCAGTATTGGTGCGCTGGAGCATCAGGCATGCCAATCAAGTCGCGATCTCGTTGACGAGTTCTCAGTGGATCACACTCACTCTCGTGAGCTCGATTACTGTCGCAACGCGCTAACAATAGCCTAGAAGACTGCAGTAGCGCTTTATCCGACGCTGGCTATGGCTTCTGCGCCCCGACACACAAACGGGATCGGTAGCCCAAGCCCAAGGAATGAAGCAAAATTCCCTAACCCGTTCTTCCCGTACGTTTTGAATGGGCTTCTCTTTTGTCTCCCTTGTCGACGAAGAATCGACGTGCCTTCGATTTTTGCACGAGTTTGAGGTTAGTCACGTAGCATATGTGGCCACTACAGGCCAAAAGTACCACCACCATGGATGTAAAGCGGCCGATCAGACGCGCAGGCGAAAGACCTCACTCAGGGTAAGTATTTCGGGTGCCGGCTTTCTGATCTACATGTTGATCAGGGGCGAACAATCAACGACTTAGTGTCGACCTTCAGAAACTAGTCGCCCCTTCACATCTCCGTGATGCGATGCCGCCGTGTGCTCTGAAAAATACCCGTCAGGCGGGCAGGTGAAATCTTCGTGGAGTGTGACATTACACGGCGCCTGTCTAGGGATACTCTGGTCACTACCACTTTTCGCGTACGGACTGTTCCTCGAAACGCGACGAGACTGGCGTTGGGTGCGAAAGGCCCAGGCCACAACGGAACGCGCCGTCTTCAACCTCTTCGGGAGCAAACGCCAGGTGAACTTTGCATGCCCAGTGTTGTTCACATCCTCGCTGTTGCGGATCTCTACCAACATCGCAACGTTCACCGCAGTTGCTTTTTCAGAAACTCGTTGTCGACCGATTGGTCGTGATACTGCACAATCCGATTGCGCAATCGCCGAACTCAATGACGTGTTTGTTGAAAGCTCGTGTATTCTGTTTGGTTATCACGTGCGCAAACCTCGAGTTTCGGAACCCGTCTACTGCGCAGGTGACAAAGGTGGCCGCGGTTTCGATCCCCTTGTCGATGATTGTCAGCGTTTCCGAAGAGTGCGGGTTCCGAGGATTTCTACCCCTCATACTCGCAACCCACACCAGCTTGCCTACGGCCGCCATCGTGGTCCTCTCGGGGATCTTTTGCGGGGTAAGACACGGTCACGTGTGGAAGAGATTAATCTGAAGTACGCGGAAATGCCAGGTCTTGAACCCGCTTTTTTGTCGTGGTTTGTCATTCATCCACGGGACGAGGGTGGATGGATAGTTTGAGTCACGTTGTTTGACAATAAAGTGGACTATGCAACAGCAACCGCGCCGGCAAAAACAAATCGTGCGCCCAAATCGTGCGCCAAAAATTGCAGGTGCTCCACGCCGTGTCGTTGGCGTACTTCCTGAACGCCACTTTGAATGGTATTTTCTTCCACTGCCTACTGCTCTCCACGGGAAACATCCTCGTGCCGATGGTAGCACATGCTGTCCACAACGCCTTCGCCCTAGTGCACTGCCACCTCAAGGTATGTTTCCGTCATCAGGTACAAACTGTCCTGCCACGCGAACCACAAGATTCATTATCGGCTCTTTGATCGCCATGGTTGGCAGAGTGCAGTTGGGTAGGAGTAGCAGCAGCAGTCGCTGCCGTCACGTCTTGCCCCTTATCAAGATGACGGGACACACTCCTCAATCCTTGACCCAATCAAACCGCTGGATTTAGAGTCAGTCCTCGACAGCTTCTTCAAGCACTCCTGCACCTTGTCAATCACGAGCGCAGGTTGGTGATTTACCCTTCGGACTTTCGTGGTCCGCTTCCGTTGCGAAGCGATCCCCCCACCAACATGAGCAATAGTTAAGGGAGGCAGACAAAGCCATCTATCTGTGAACGCGCTGCACGGACGAAAACCAGCTCTCAAGATGATATGTACGAGGTAACTAACATGGGTTGCTGCACCTATTTTCTGTTGCTGTACTGCGCGTTCCTTCCCGCAGACATCTGGAGGAGAACCAGTCAAGTAAGAGCATCACTGCGGGGGATCTTCACCAAATACCACGGAACGTAACCTGCCGGCCTTTGCGTTAAGTAAATACCAGCGGTCGTTCGACAGCGTGGTAAATTTCCCTGTGTTAACCCCTTTTGGAGACACTTTTTGTCCCCATCTTCTTCACCTGCTTTACCTCGCGAAGAATGGCACGATTGTCTTCTCCTGTGAACTACTCGACCAGGGGGGTGCCAGGGTACACGGGGACGACTCTAGTTTAGTATAGATGCTTTGTAGAGTGGAGGAGTATGAGGGTAATGAACAGGTCGAATCGGGGGGCGATTACGCCGCGGGTTCAACAGCGAAACGCGCCGCGTCTGTCTACCCTTNTCCCCATCTTCTTCACCTGCTTTACCTCGCGAAGAATGGCACGATTGTCTTCTCCTGTGAACTACTCGACCAGGGGGGTGCCAGGGTACACGGGGACGACTCTAGTTTAGTATAGATGCTTTGTAGAGTGGAGGAGTATGAGGGTAATGAACAGGTCGAATCGGGGGGCGATTACGCCGCGGGTTCAACAGCGAAACGCGCCGCGTCTGTCTACCCTTGGTGGAAAGCGCTACTAGGGGCAAGCGCGGAAGAAGTACCTAGCCCACCGTTGATAGGAGGCACCGGGCAACCCAGGGCTTGGGTAAGAAGGTCTCGCTTTCCCTCTAGAGAAATATCTTGAAAACCTCCTCTTCGTGCCCCGTTTTCCGCGCTCCCGCCAGTTGCTGCCTTTAATCCCTATCATATGTGCCCTCGAATCGAGGGGACATTTGGTGGGGATTATAGACAAGAGACGACTCAAGTGGGAAGGCAGCTTTGCACTTGCACCCAGGGATGGAACTGTCGGCACCATCCAATCAACAAGCATCCTTCGCTCTTTTTCTTACATTTCAGAGATTTCGCAAGATCGCCGAATTTTCTGTGCGTGGTGAGGGGGTTAGCACGGTCACGGCTTGGAAGAAAATGAGAAGACATGTCAATGAGGGATTGGTCAAATAACACGGAATGCGTTCGGCTATTGATCACCGCACACATCACGATCTTGCCTAATAACACGACGAGTTTGAATTTGCGGCTAAAAGACGTTCCGATGTAACTATGTGAACTTGACTGTTGCACCACATACATACATGGACATGTGCCGTTGTGAACGGCGGAATCAAGCGTGCGTGTGCAATAGCCTGCTTTCCGGCATACTCTTTCACAACAGCCCGTAAAAACTTGCCGAAACTGCAACGAAGAATGTAGTCTATTTCACCGCCTGCCTCAGCTTGGAATTAAGCTTCAAACACGATCGGCTTCACTCGTGGAGACAAGAGTCGGCGATATTGCAGCCATCCCACTCAACAGGTTGGAGATTTTCGCGCGCACGCTCCTCGTGCTCACAGACTATCACAGGGCTGTAAGGGCCGTTCTAAACGGTGCTTGTTTTCCAATTAGGGTAAGAGTTTCCGAAAGAGGGAGCTTCGCGAATCGAGTTCGAAGAAAAGAAAAAATACTAAAAAGGAAATTAGGAACGACAGTAAAATTGTACTTGGGCCCTACATGTAGACTACTTGGTTTGATTTTTTGTGGATGCCTTCTAATCATTCATGTGGAAGTGTAAACGCTAGGACCTTCTAAACATTCATGTGGAAGTATAAACGCTAGGAAGAGCCAAGAAGTGAAGGCATCATCCTGTACAATACATCCTCATGAGATGATCCGCGGTCGGACCACCCGAAGCCGGAAAGAACTAAACATCGAGTATATGGATTTCACTTCACCGGTGTTGGAAGGTACATGACAATACAAGTAGAAGGTCTGCCGACTTGGCCTTTGTCAATATTTTCCCCGGTCACTCCTCATTTTACTCCCGTTGGATGGTTATCTTCCACGACGCAGCCCGTCCGCCCTTCGTCATTGCATCAAGTCGCTGGAGGATTGGTTCATGACGCCCAAAAAGATGACACCACCATACAGCTAAAAGAGCCTCCACCCTGGCCACAATCATTTTCACGCCTCACCAAAATTAGTTGCTACATCTTTGAAAAGCAGATATGACGATGAGGTAGGTTTGGACGTCGGGAGTTAACCCTTGCCTCCGGAGATCCATAAGTAGGTCTACAGCTTCCTTCCAACGACCTTGCTTTGCACAAGCATCAATGGCGGCCGTGTAGGTTATCAAATTTGGGGTTGCTCCGTGGGTTTGCATCTCTTTCAAGATTCGTACAGCTACGTCCCATTGCTCCCCCTTTCCACAAGCATGAATTGCTGCGCCATAGCTGACGGTATTCGGGGTTAACCCTACCGTTGCCATGTCTTTTAACAAGCCGAGAGCCTCTCGCCATCGTCCACTCTTGGCACATGCGGTTACGGCTGAGTTGTAGCTGATTATGTCTGGCTTCAGCCCCCGCGTGGGCATTCCCTCAAGTAGGTGTAAGGCTAGCTCCCACTGTTCCCCCTTTCCGCACGCGTCGATGGCTGAGTTGTAACTGATGACATCAGGAGCCACCCCCCGTGCTGGCATTCCCGTAAGAAGCTGCACCGCCAGCTCCCACTGTTCCCCCTTTCCACATGCGTCGATCATACTGTTGTACGTGACCACGTTTGGCGACAACCCGCGGGTGGGCATTTCACGGAACAGACCCATAGCCTCTTGCCACCGTGCACTCCTCCCACACGCCTCGATGGCTGAGTTGTATGTGATGACGTTTGGGGTTAGCCCTGCCGTTGGCATCTCCCTCAGCAGCTCCAAGGCTGTCTCCCACTGCTGCCCCCTTCCGCAAGCATCGATGGCGGAGTTGAAGCTGATGATGTCGGGGTCTGACCCAACTGTTGACATCCCTCTCAACAGCTTGACAGCTTTCTCCCACTGTCCCCCCTTTGCACAAGCATCCAAGGCGCTGTTGTAGCTGATTGTATTTGGGGCTATCCCGTGTGCTGGCATTTCCTTCAGCAGGTCCAAAGCCTCAACCCACCGGCCGTTCACTGCACAGGCCGCCGTGGCTGTGTTGTAGCTGATGACAGTGGGAACTAGCCCTACCGTTTTCATCTCCCTAAGTAGATCCAGAGCTTCCTTCCACCGATCCCCTTTCGCACAAGCATCGATGGCTGAGTTATAGCTGATCACATTCGGGGATACTCCCTGTCTACGCATCTGCTCCAAAAGATTCATAGCTTCTTTCCATCGCCTCCCTCTCCCGCAAGCAGCGATGGCTGAGCTATACGAGATTACGTCGGCTGGAATATCGTTGATCAACATCTGCCCTAAGAGATCCATGGCCTCCAGCCACCGGCCTCCCTTAGCGCAAGCGTCGATGACCGAATTGTAGGTACGGGTGGTAGGGGGGAAGCCCTTCTCTATTGCCTCTTCCAATAGATCCATAGCCTCTTCCCACCGTCGTCCCTTTGCGCAAGCACCGATGGCTGAGTTGTACGTGATCAAATTCGGTCGAACTCCTTGCGCCACCATCTGCTCCAGGAGGTCCATAGCTTCCTTCCAACGCCCCCCGTTTGAACAGGCAGCGATGGCTGAGTTGTAGGTGACCACGTCGGGGGTTATTCCCTCCGTCGGTGCAACCATCTGTTTCAGGAGGTCCATAGCTTCTTTCCATCGACCCCCCTTTGAACAGGCAGCGATCGCTGAGTTGTAGGTAACCACATCGGGGGTCACTCCCTCCGTCGGCATCTCTCTCAACAACCTCACAGCTGTGGCCCACTGTTTCCCGTTGCTACACGCCGCGATGGCGATGTTGTACGATGTCGTGTCTAGATTGCCGCCAGAGATCTTGAACTCATCTAAAGCGGCCAACGCTGTTCTCCAATCCCCATCTTTCGCTTCAAGCAATGTTGATTTCAACTTGACCAACGATTTTGACTTGCCCCCCCTTCTCGCAGCTCCACGTGATCTTGTACTGGATTCGAGCGGACCCTCCCCCTTGCGTGACAAAACACCAAGCCTAGTTGCTTCACCGCTAACCCCAGCATCTACCGCTCCGGCGTCGAGCTCGCAAGGCATCCTGGTTCCGCTTAGATGTCGAGTGCTTCCTCTTTCCCGCCTCGAATGTCGATATGTTCGAGAGTTCTTGGCCATCAATTCCGAATCGCTGCACGTTGAGTGCGTCGGCATTGCGCCTTGCAAACCGAATGCACAGCTTGATTTGTCGATAGCTGGGGGAAACGCGCGTGGTAGGCGGGTGGCGGGGTCGTACTTAGTATGCGCGGTCATGGTCAGGCGCACGAAAGTGCGTGTTTTTCCCTACGGGGGACGCTCGGAATGGCACTCGTCATCGCGTTTGCTCCCGCCCAGTCGGATACGTCAATAGGAAGCAGCCAGAAATCACTCAAGCAGCGATTGCACTATATATATCGTTGGTAACAGTCTACAAGTAACCGCTTCGGCAACAGAACGCGCCACCACAGGAGAACTCAGCAGCTAAGAACTTGAGCCTCACAAAATCCAAAATCTAAGCACTTGGCCGTAAGAATAGGTGCTCAGTTCCGACGTGACAATAAAAACAAGAACCCGCCTCTGTGAAAATACCAATGCGCATACACATAAACGCGGAGCCCCAAAACACGCCGGTTGCAAAATAAGTAATTCAGGAAGGTGCGGGGTGACACCAACAGCAGTTACTTCAGATTCAGTGCTGGGAGGGGGGGGAACTTGTGAAATAATACCTGTACGCGTGGAGACGGGGGGGGGGGATGTCCGATCTTACCGCAGTTGTAAAAATTAAAGTCTGACCGGATGGATCCGACAAAGGAACAAACTATTTGCCCACGGATCTTATCGGATACCTTGGGATTTGTAATCGTAAAGAGGTCGCTCTCTTCTTTCGCTCCGTAAACTAGTGAGTAGTGCAGTAGTGAGATGCCCTCGTCCTCCGCGTTCCAACAAGAATTTGGCTCATGTGCCGGATTCGTAGGAGTCGAGTCGGTAACGTGACGGGGATGAAGGAAGGTTGGGTGAGTTTACGTCTTGCCGGAATGGTCAAGTGAGGGTGGCTCTTGTCAGACCATTTTTCCGTCCAACCTCCAAAATCCAAAATAAATAATATCACTGATTGGACAGCGCGCCAGTATTCCGCCGCGGGGTTTTGGATGGCAGGGTTCGTGTTCCGATAATTTATCGATATGGCTTAATCAAAAAC